TGGCTTTCAGTGTGTATTCCAGCACATCTCAATTGAGACTAGCCACGTTTCAAATGCTCAGTGGCCACATGGGGCTGATGACTACCATAAAAGATAGTGAAACTCGAGGATTTTCTCTCCTGGGAGACTTCTTCTTCACTTTCTAAAATAATACTATTTTTAGGTGCTTGTGGGAAAATATGCATGTGTTTTCCGTGATATGGAGCACTTCTCCTGTGGTCATGAGCTCTGGAATCTGTAAGGCTCGTGTGAGTTTCAGTCCGTGCGGCTCATCAGTAGCTCCCTGGAGTGATGAGGGGAGACAGAAGCAGTGGCCAGGGCTGCTTGAGGCTAGGGACTAGAATCAGGAAAGTTGGCATCAGTGTTACTGGAGACTTGATGTTCTCTCCTCTAGCCTTTTCCTCAAAAAAATTAAAAAGATCAGACTCAGAAGTCAGTGGCAGAGTGAGTGTTGATTTATGGATGAGATGTCAGTAAGAAAGAGGGAGCAATGATTTTAGGCACAAAGTTGGATAGTGGGGTAGAAGAAAACGAAATGAACAAAGGCCTGTAGCCCATGAAAGGTGGGGCATTCTATCCGTCTGTCATCTCACCATGTACATGTATATGTAGATGGTTTAAGCCTTTGACGCTTCTATTTCATTAGTACCGAAGGTATAATATTACTCTAACTCATGTGTTGTCATTGGTAACAAAAGAAAATAAGATGAGACCACTGACTTTAAAAAGACACCACTGTCATTTTATTGAGGTATGACTGACATTTAAAAAATTGTACATATTTAACGTGTACCTTTTGGTGAGTTTGGTGATAAGCATACGCCCATGAAACCATCACCATCATGAAGGCCATAAACATATCAGCTCCCACACCATTTATTAGTATTATTAATACTTTGGTGAGAACACTTAACGTAAGATCTACCCCCTTAGCAATTTTAAGCATACAATACAGTATTGTCAGCTACAGGCTCTGTGCTGTGCAGCAGTTGTCCAGAACTTACTTATGTTGCATGACTGAAACTCTGCACTCTTTAGCCGTCACCTCCCCATTTCTGCCCTGCCTCCACCCTGCTAGCAACCACCATTCTACTGTCTGCTTCTGTGAGTTTGACTATTTTAGATTCCACATATAAGTGAGATCGTAAAGAATTTATCTGTGTCTAGCTTTTTCCCACTTCTGGGTTTATATCCAAAGGAGTTGAAGTCAGTATCTCGAAGAGATATCTGCACTCCCAGGTTCATTGCAGCCAAGACATGGAAACCACCTAAATGTCCATCAGTGGATGAATGGGTAGAGAACACTGGCTTGTATGTATTAAACTTCTCTTTTAACATGATGACACACAAAATGTAAGTCAAAATAAGTCTAACAGAGAATGGCATAAGAACTTGCGAACTCCTAAAAGTCGATTAGCACCAAACTGCAAGCCCTATAAATTAGCCCTTTGAATGAACTCATAAGGAAAGCAGTTTTAAACTTATGAACTTCATTGAACTTTTAGTGAATCTAGTTTGTGAGTCAGTGAATGTCGGAATAAATGTCTTAGACCAACTGAAGTGCATCTCTGGTTCAGAGAAGGGTGGCTGTTCAATCTAATACCTTCAGAAGATGAGATCATCTCCCTGAAGTGTTGGATCTCTGTACATCCCCATCCCCCAAATCTCCTAAATTGATTGAAAACAAATGCCATGTTTTAGTAAAGTAGAATTAAAAATCAATGGATCATACTTTTTATCCTGAAATATTATTGTGTTTATCACAGTCTCTCATTTCAGTGTGGGCTGATTCAGTATGCACTTGCAACCATTTGAAGTGACTGAAGTGTTTTGCGAGGTGGTTACTTCAGAAAAATTGGCATTTCAGAAAGATGCATTTTTTCCTCAATCTCTGTTGATGTTTGAAGTTTTCAATGTGTTGCTGTGATCAGAGAAAAACATTTCTTGTGAAATAGTTTTTTCCAAGAGCACAGTGATTTGAGACCGGCAGGCTGTTGAATCAGATCATTTTTTCTAGA